ATTATTACAGTATTAGATAAAAAAAAAAAAAAAAAAAAAAAAAAAAAAAAAAAAAAAAAAAAAATATATATATATATATATATATATATATATATATATATATATATATATATATATATATATATACACATATATATATGCAGACAACTACAAAAATTGATTAGCAAGAATACATGTGTTTGTTTGTTTGTATGAGTGTGTAAACACAAGTTTGAGTGCACAGATGTTGGTATGTGTGTTTATATGCACTTATGTCTGCCTTTCAACTTACCAACGTAGAGTGATGAGTCAACATTAAGTTGCACAAGATCACCTGGAGAGACAACTACAATTTGGTCCTCACCATCCACAGACACGTGGGCTTCTCTCTCGTACCTGTCGAACAATGGTGGTTTTCTTAGTTTCTCTCATGTAAGTACTGATATAAGGATACCCCTCTATATAAATCATTTATCAGGTAAATAATAATTTCTTTGTTTGTTTCTTTCTTTCTTTCTCTCTTTCTCCCTTTCTCTCTCTCTCTCTCTGTCTCTGTCTGTCTCTGTCTGTCTTTGTCTCTGTCTCTGTCTCTGTCTCTGTCTCTCTGTCTCTCTCTCTCTCTCCTTTTTCCGGTTATTTTTCTTTTTCTCTCACATAAACACATGCATAACTAAATGATTACATTATAACATTTCCTTATTCTCCTATGAGCAGAAAAAAATCACTTATATCCAAAGAATTTTCATCCATTATAAAATAACATCATACAATCTCAATCCCTGCACAGACAAGAACAGTACATACCTGGAAATCCTCACTGTATGCCACTGCCCGTCATCCAAGGGACCACTGTTATTGTACATGAGCCTAGCATACCCAGAGCCAAGGTTGTACCGGAGCACAACACGCCCATCTTGCAACTCTAGGCTCAGCGAATCTCCAATGGGTGGGATCAGTATGTCAGTTTCTCCATCATCTTCCTCCTCTCCGGCCCAGACCAGGAGGCCATTGGGCGTCAGGGAGCGGAATCTTAACCACAAATGGAGTTTGTCGCCTGACACTCTGGAATATAGAAAGATATCATATATCTATAATATATATATATTCATATATATTTATATATATTTATATATATATATATATATATATATATATACATATATATATATATATATATATATATATATACACATATATACATATATATACATATATATACATATATATACATATATATACATATATATACATATATACACATATATACATATATATATATATATACATATATATATACATATATATATACATATATATATACATATACATACATATATATACATATATATACATATATATAATATGTATATACATATATACATATTATATATTTTATATTTTATATCATATATCATAACTATATATATATATATATATATATATATATATATATATATATATATATATATATATATATATATATATATATATATATATATACATAATAATATATAATAATATATAAATCTATACATGCATACATATATACATATTATATATTTTATATTTCTGATTATATATATATATATATATATATATATATATATATATATATATATATATATATATATATATATACATATATATATATATATATATATATATATATATATATACATATACATATACATATACATATACATATACATATACATATACATATACATATACATATACATATACATATACATATACATATACATATACATATACATATACATATACATATACATATACATATACATATACATATACATATACATATACATATACATATACATATACATATACATATACATATACATATATACATATACATATACATATACATATACATATACATATACATATACATATACATATACATATATACATATATACATATATACATATATACATATATACATATATACATATACATATACATATACATATACATATACATATACATATACATATATACATATATACATATATACATATATACATATATATATATATATATATATATATATATATATATATATATATATATACATATACATATATATGCTTTATCCTTTACAGAACCTACAAATCAATCTTTCTGCAAATATTACAAAAGAAAAAGAAAAAAAGAAAAAAAGAAGAAAAACAAATTATTAAATAATAAGATCCTTACCGCTTCATTATCTCTGGATCTGAGTACTTCAGGAAAGAACGCCCACTGAAACTTGGTGTGAGAACCTGCGTCACCACTCGGCTCCTGCAGTGCTCATCCTTGAATCCCAGAGGGCAGCGGCATGTGTAGGTAGGGCCGTGTGGCTCACATACTCCGCCATTGTCACAAGGGCGCTCAGAGCATGGGTGATCGCAAGATCCCACATTACTGCCAGACACTGCTCCAGATACCAAGTGGATTGGTCGTCCATTCAGTGATAACTGTTTAGAAAAAAAAAAGGTTGAATTAGTGGTGTACGTACAAATGCAGTGGTTTAAATAAATATCAATGGGTGCTACAGTACAAGAACCTCTTATCTTTAGTACACTTTTTATTGCAAGTTCTTTTTAATGTACTTCTCCAATTAAAGCTATATTTATAATAGCAGCTGTATGATATGTGTGAATGCAGAGATACTGACAACTTCTTTCAGTCTGTTTTGCATTCTCTTCATTATTAAGGTCTGTTAGTCCTTATCTGTCTGTTTAGGGCAACAAGCATAGTGCTTATGACAAAACTGGTAATGTTCCTAACCAACACCAAAAAGTAATGAGACTAGGGAATGCCTACTGCCCCTGTTAGATGTATGTGTGGTGTATATCATACACTGCAGCAGATAATAAGGCTAAGGAAAGCTATCTTAGGTAGTGAATCTGTCACTGTGATAAAGTCACATTGTGGATTTCTCTTCCACAACCAACAGGCTTCCTACAACACAGGAATCACTAGTTGTTGAAAATGTTAGTGTGGAGTTGAACAAGTTGGAAACTCCTTCCACTCCTTAAATCCCCCACGCAAGATCTACTTTGTCAAAACAGCTTTCCTCATTACTAATACACATACCTATATACTTGAGTAATAGTTCTTAATACAATATATACTATTTACATAATACAGCAGTGCCAACAGAAGTCTAGATTTTTTAGTTTTCCTTACTAAAATTTATAGGGAAAAATATACACTCACACTAAACATCAACACAGACATACATTTACAAAGAGACTCCCACCTTTTGTATGCAGCCCACAAAGGCCTGCGATGCTGGTAGTATTGGCTGAGAGACTGAGGTGGGTGGGATACCTCCAAGATATAGAGGATGTGAGAGAGACAGCATAGTGAAACCACCAGGGGTCAGACCACTCACAACGGGCTGGTCATCAACATATAACCAAGCCCATCGGCCAGTCCGAGACACTCGCACTGAGTGCCACACGCCAGGACGGATTGGGTAGGCTGACCTGGGGGAGACATCAAGGTGCATTGAGGCAGGAAGTAGTTTCTCTACAGGACATATGATCTTATCATTATATGCAGATCTAATTTAACACACTTCTTCACATAAATACATGGAAAGGTAAACTAAAAAACATTATTCTACTCATTTTATTTAACATATAATAATTATAAAACTGGCTCTATATCAAATAACTGTCTGATCCTGGAAAATTAATAATCTAAACTCAATCTAATTTTCATCATTTTTATAGCTAAATATAATTACAAAGGTGATAAAATATCATTCTGTTTTACTGAAACCCAATATAGAGATGCTAAATAGTTATCAATAAGGGCAATTATCCCCTGCATCTTTCTTACAGTTACTTCACAATACAACATCTAAATGATCAACCAAAGTCAAGGAAAATAAGACTCACCGTAACGTCAGCATTCCAGATCCCAAATCAATCGTGAACAGAACATGGGCCTGGGAGAGGGTGACAGCAATGAAGTCACTGGAGCCGTCTGATCGATGTCCCTCGTACAGCATAATGCCTTCTGTGGAGGCTGCACGGAACACTAATTCCAGCTCAAGCCATGATAGGACAGAGCCTCCAAGTGCTGGGAATACTAAGTGGGCAGAGCCATTGAAGGAAGGAACCTAAAAAGAAAAAGAATCCATTTTCAGTTCTGTGACAATTAACAAAAACAAGTTGGATTTAAACATATATGTATTCTGCCTCAGAATATCAAATATACTTTTTTCACATTCATACCCTACTCCAAATTACCCACATGTCCCTTACAATAAGATTAAACCAAGATAACCATTTCTGCAAACATGTGAGAGATTATTGCTTCAGCATTAACCGTTGTAAGCTACAGAAATTCCAACCTCAGTAACAAATCCACAAACTAAACCCCAGAAAATATTTGATTAAGTTAGTTTGCATTCCAAGGATTCTAGCGAAAAGTCTGTGAATGATGTTGGGGTAGTTATACTCTACATATATTTCTGTTTCAATTTCAAGCGGATATTGTTGAATTTACTCCAAATTCCTAATCACTAACCTCGAGATTTAGTTGCTTTTCACAGAAGTCCCCAGCATAGCCAAGCGGGCACAGACATATAGGAGCAGCAGGAGGAGGAGGAAAGAAAGCAGGGGGAGGTGTGGCAGCTAAACTGGAATTGTTCCTGGTGTCCTGGACTGAAGCCACACATTTTCCTCCATGCTGGCATTCTACTTCACTGCAGGCATCACCTATGCATTCACCTAGAAAGAGATGTGTTTAAATTGGAAGAAATCTTAAGAAAGTTTAATCTGAAAGTGTATTTCTTTTCTTTCTTTTTTTTATAAACAAAGGAATCTCATTCATATCAAGTGAACATAATGCAACTATAAAACTTAATTTTACTCTCTATATACAAACAATACTACAGAGAAGGAATATATCAGAACAATCCATAACAAATACTTCTAATTATATTAAACATACTTATATCAAAGCCATCAAGAGCAGCATAATCTGACGAGGGATTGGGTTCCCTAAGAGCATCATTCTTGTGGAAACGATAAACATGATCATTGATCTGCAGTCGTCTGACACATCCCTGTAAGCCTGTTGTCACACCAAGACGCACTGCGAGGGATGTCAGGTTGTTGGAGCCCCCAACATAGAGAGGTTCGCGGAAAGTGATCCTTGAGAAGAGTCCCTGGAAAGAGGAAGGATTTAATAAGTAACATCTCATCTGCATGCATGTATACTTATGTATATATATTTGTGAATATTTTCTGATAGCCAATTACACCTGCTTGTAAAAAACTATGGCCTACTTTAATGAATGTAACAAATGATTTGGCAATTTTTGATGCCTCTATGGATGTTTCAGTTCCTGACTGCAATTATTAGCAAATGTGAAAAGGATCTACAGAATAATAATAGTGTTAATCTGGTTTTACCAAAGAAAATTTTCATATACACAGATGTACATATGTGAAAGTATAAATTATACATCTTTGTTCAAATTACATTTCTATACCTCTACCATGCACTCAAGTTTATATTTAAACTACAGAACATTCAAACCACATTTCATAACCAGTAGGTAAAATCAAATTAATTCACATCACCAATTTGACTCTCTGTATCACATTGCAGGCAACATAGGCTAAATATTATTACTCTAGAGGGGGATGTCCGTGAGAGTATGGGTTAGCATCTAAAGTTTTATACCTTTAAAAAAATGCAGTAGTACTTAAATAATAATATCAATAATACTAAAAAAAATATTTTATATCTTTAGAATAATAGTATTTATAAAAATATGACCATAAAACTTTTCTCCACATTACACCCACCTCAGATCGGCCTTGAATATGGTGGCCATCGTTGAGCTGCAGCCAAACATCCCAGCGGTGCCGATACACAGTAAGCCGGTTCCACTCACCCATATGCACTCCCTCGGGTGAGCGGACAGATCCTGCACCTGAACCGCAGTCCCATCTGCAATTGGATGTTTTACTATGAGTACCTCATGTTATATTATCAGTAACTATAACTGGGTAATTTCATGTGATTAATCAGTCATTATAAGGCATTTAATAGATATTTATATATCCAACAGGTCCATCAAAATGTTTATTGACTTTATGAGCAACAATACAAAATTAATAATTTTGTGGATAATGTGCTAAATATGCTTACTTACTTGATGTAAGTAATTTGAACTTTAAAATAATTACTTTCCTTTCTCAATCACTCTTGTTTCCTCTTTCACACTCTCACTCCTCCCTTCTACTGCCTCATCCCTTCTTTTTTGCACCTTATTTTCCTTCCTCCCTCCTTTCTCTTCCTCTGCTTCTTCCTCCTCTTTTCTTTCTTTCTTTCTCTTTCTCTTTTTCTTTCCTTTTCTTTCTTTCTTTTTCTCTCTATTTCTCTCTCTCTCTCACTCTCTTGCTCTCTCTTTTTCCTTTCCTTTCCTTTTCCTTTTCCTTTTCCTTTTCCTCTCCCTCTCCTTCTCTTTCTCCTTCAACTTCTCCTTCTCCCTCATCCTCGCCCTCGCACTCTCCTCTTTCTCCTTCTTCTTCTCCTCTCTCTCCCTCTCCTTCTCCTCTTTCTTCCTGTCCTTCTCCTCTTTCTCCCTTTCCTTCTCCTCTTTCTCCCCCACCTTCTCCTCTTTCTCCCTCTCCCACTCTTTCTCCCCCTTTCCTTCTCCCTCTCCCTCTCCCTCTCTCTCTCTCTCTCTCCATCTCCCTCTCTACTTCCTCCTCCTCCTCTTTTCTTTCTTTGTTTCTTTCCCTCTCTCCCTTTCTCCCTCTCTCCCTCTCCCTCTTTTCTCCTTCTCCCTCTCCTTCTCCCTCTCCCTCTCCCTCTCCTTCTCCTTCTCCTTCTCCCTCTCCTTCTCCTTCTCGTTCTCGTTCTCCCTCTCCCTCTCCTTTTCCCTCTCCCTCCCCCCCTCCCCCTCCCCTCCCCCTCCCCCTCTCCCCCTCCCTCTCTCCCTCTCCCCCTCTCTCTCTTTCCCTCTCCCTCTACCCCTCCCTCTCCCTCTCTATACCTTACCTGAACTCAACATAGCCATTGAGGAGCACTGCAGCCATGAAGTCCCCACTGAGGTCGTCATTCTCCCCCGACACCAGCAGGACTCCGTCAGGACTCTCGGGCTTGAACTCCAGTGTGAGTTGGACATCCCTGTAGGCCTCCCGGAGAGGGGCAAAGGCTACCCAGGAAGAGCCGTGGAACCTAGCCGTTTCTATCTGAGGACCTGGGGACAAATTTACGTATTTGATGTTTTGGGAAAGTGGAGTCTGTTAACAGTAATTTAGAATTGAAAGAATAATAACAAAAGCTGAGATCAATATCAATATCATAAATAAAGTTGTGCAGCATTTTTAATACTGGGCTATTTATTAACTCCAAGTGAGTTTTATTGTCTCTCTTTTAATCAGTAAATCAGCAGAAATCTCATAGTCAGGAATACAAAAAAATATTCGAACAAGATTAATGTATATATTAATTATTTACTTTTGGAAAACGTCTTTGGTAAAAAAAATAGTTCTTATCTCTATTCATGTATCAAATTATCTATTCAAATTAAAACTAATTCTATCTGCCTAAGTTATATTGATATTGGATCAATAAAGACTTGTACTGTAAAGTGGCACCATTTTTGAGAGACTCTGCAGGCATATGGTAGAATATCTTCTTTATAATCTGCCACTATAGTCAAGTTTCTGTTACCTTTGATATGCAAAAACTGATTATAAGAAAAATAATAAAACAAACAAGTAAATAAAGGAAGAAAGAAATCCTGGGTCACTTGTACAATGAACTAATAAGTCAGAGGCTGCACAGAATAGATCAGTAGATTAATGTTAAGTTTCAGGATCACAAATGTTAGGCCATGGATACTTATTTGGACCACCTTGTTTTAAATTTTCTTATGAATATGTTATAATTGTACTTCATTTGCAGACCAATTGTTGAATTGCATTTTTATTTTTCAGAAGGACATTTTGGGTGTTTTAACCTTCAAGATTATCTTAACTTAACGTATACAGCAGTGGCATACATGATACTGAAAGGACTCACACGATCAGGACATAATGAAATGTGTCCCGTCATTAAACTAAACATATCAATGAATAAGTCTACTCAATAACCCCTCTGGTGAATGGAAACATAAAAAGCATAAGTACATATACAAGAGCAGATGGTCCATACCTGGATGACAATAGCGGCCTGCATGTCCCAGGGGGCACATGCACCTTGAGATGCCAGCCTGAGTATCCACATGGCAATGTCCTTTTCCACAATCCATTTCACACTGAAAATAAAACAAAATGTCAGAGATAACTTATTAAGATTGTTAAAGATTTTGCATAGGAGGTTACTCAATAAATGCATTTATGGAAAAAAATATACTGTCTAGTTCATAAATGTTTCAACTGACTGCTAACTGCCCAATAAAAAAATATTACAAATTATTCTTTTGTGCAGCAACATCAACCAATCTCTATGCCTAAAAGATGAGGTATCAAATAATGATTGGTTGATAATTCTTGTATTAAAAGTAAAATGTCACACTTGTGAGACTGCCTGGACATGAAAATGAGTGAAGAATGGAGATATGAAGATTATGACATAGATGGGAAATGACTAGCAATTAATTATGCAGTTTAATTCTATTCACCCAAACTGCAATATACAAATATCCACCAATATGAGAGGGCATTTAGAATTCATTCATATTTGATTCAAATGATCTATCTGAAACCTATCAACAAATCTTGAACATACATCACAGTTATAAATCAAGATGTCTCCCAACCTACAGAAAGCAAACCAACCAAAGTAAACAAGTAAGGCATACCAAGGGTGTGAGGCTCTCAGTGGCTTGAAGGTTGGGGAGCTCGGACGGCACCTTCTGCTCCAGGTTGGGTCCGGGCGAAGTGAACGGCTGGATGAGGTCCAGGGTGTCCAGCTCCAGGAAAGTCTCTGGGCCGGTTTCTTCCTCAGCTCCGAGATCCTCCTGGCTGGATTCATGCTCAGTCTTATATCTGCCAAGTGTTAATGATGAGTTAATATATGAACAAAAGCTGTGATATCTCTTGTGTTGCACAAATAATATCCTCTTGTGAACCAATTGCACTAATGTGGAGAACAAGATACTTGTTTTTCAACACCTAAAATTTGCAAATATAGAAAATACAATGTGAATTCCATCATATCTTTAAACCATAAAACTTCACCATGCCAATTCTCTATTACAGTTACTCAAAGCCACTAATCAACATACTAAAAATCAAATAAACACTGACTTAGGGTTCATCCTAACTTGTCATAGTTAATACTTTTTCCTTAGCCTAGTCCTATCTACTTTGACTCCATTTAAGAAAATTCCCTGCCTCCATCTACATTAATATCTTATTTGAAATCATCATGCATAATTTGCAATTAGTATACTATGCTTCTTATTCAAGATCAGTCTTGCCTAATTTACCCACAAATATCCCACAACAAAACATATACCGTCCATTCTCTAATCCTCATGCTACCTGTCACATCAATGACATCACTCGATCCTATTCCAGCCCCGCCCTCTCGATCATGATGCGCTTATATTCAGAGACACTTCGGGCATCTTAAACGGAGAGCCGGAGCGACGTCCGAAGCGTCTCTGAATACGGACGATGCACATCCCGCCCAACCTGTCGTAGTTGAGGATGTCGGCCCTGTCGATGAGCTGGCTGCTGCCCTTGCGCCGAGAGGGATCCTCCAGGAGCTCGGCCGTGTGGGGCTGGTCCTCGGCGTCCTCCAGCCTTGACAGGTCGCGCTGGTAGTCGTCTCGTCGGTAGTCGCTGTACTTGTCGTCGCGCGTGTAATCGAGGCGCTGGTAGTCATCCCGCTGGTAGTCGTCACGTTGGTAGTCGTCATGCTGGTAGTCCCCTGGAGAGTCAGATTGGTAGTCGTCATCCAACACGGCCACGAAGGACGCCTCCTTCTCGTACAGCACGGAGGAATCGGGCTTGCTGTAGTTCAGCT